AGAGAGAGATGTTCTTCAATGTAGGAGCAGAGAAAAAGGAGATGTTTCTGATCGTCTTCATCAGCTACTAGTCAACTAATTTTATCACTTCTTCTTCCTTTGCATTCTCATCCATTCTTCTCTTTCTTATGGAAAATTTTATAGCGCGCAAAATATCCTATCAAAATACCTGATAAACAACTTAAGTGTAAGATTTCGACAGATAGATTTCACTCGATCCTCAGATGTAACTTTAAACATGAACATCGCATACGTGTCATATAATAAGAGCAAAGACAAATTTTGTAGATATGATATATATGATAATAATAAATAATTAGATTTATTCCTTTCCTTTTCTAATCAATGAAAAGTTTTCGTAAAGTGAATGCAAAAAAAAAAAAAAGGAGAAAGAAAGCATATCATCATATCCTACTTAATCGACAAATCAGGTCACATAACCGCCATGCTAACTGTGAATAAATTTATATAGATTTTACAATGTATCAAATTTTCCAACAACAATAATAACAACAACTAAAGCAACAACAATATAACAGCAACTAGTTGAAATCGATAGGTTTCTACGCTAGACTGTATATATGGTTTAAAAATACAAAAACTAAATTCTGTCTTGCGAAGCAATCTCATACAAAAAAGAAGAGAAAAAAGAAGAAGAAGAAGAACCAAAACAACGAAATGCATTGAAAGCAATTTTAATCATCTTACACAATTTTCTTCTTCAGTCAGCTTCTTTCCCATTTCTTTTTCGTTTCTTGTTTCTAGCTTGTTTTAATCTTATTATATTATTAATGTATTTTCCTCATCATATGATAACGATAGACATATTTAGGTACAATGTAAGCAAAAAAAAAAATAAATAATAATAATAATTTTTTTTATTTTATATTTAAACAATTTCCCAGAGCGTGAAAAAGACATGGTTTTTCTATACTGTACCGCAACAACATTTCATTTATTATTATTATTATTATTGTTGTTCTTGTTGTTGATAGGTCTAAGTAGTATTAAGATTATATTGTGGCATCTTTCGATCTTGTTTACAAGTCAGCTGTTTAATATTTATGACGTGTAACGGTGTATGGCAAAAGTAAAAGGAAACAAAAAAAAGCTCATAAAAAGTAATAATAAAAAGTCTACACTTCAGATCATCTATAGGAAATAACGAAATGCTTTCGAAAAAGAAAAAATTAGGTAACATAGACTTAACAGCGATACAAATGAATATATGATTGCAAATTGATAGGAATTTTAGAGAGCGGTAAAAACGATAGACTCGTCTCGCGTGATGGGCGGCCATTGGAAAATACATGAAAAAAAATACCTCATAGTAGATATTCGCTTGTTTAAAAGTCGTTATGTACCTCCCAGGAGTGACAGCCTCTATTAGCTGCGATTTTGTGGTCTGCGATCGCGGAAACCGAGGTTTTTCACGCCATACATATTTGAAATAATCCGCAACACGAGTTGTCTTAATTGTAGTTGATTGGAATTTTTGTTTCCGGCATGATCTTCGGAGTGCCAGCATGTACAATAAAAGATCACGATCTAGCGAAACGTAGTTTGCAGAATCATTGGCATTATAAATGATTATAGTAATAATAACTGGTGTAAGGAAGATGAATGGAATCTTCCAGCTTATGGAATTAGGAAGAACATATGAAATTCCTGCACGAAGTAGCTGTACGGGCTCCGGAGCGCTTACGTATTGCCAACGACCAATGTCGGCAATAGCCCTTAGCTGGAATGATATATGCTTACCCGAGCCTTTTTGGCGACCCGGTCGTTTGCAATAGTCCCTAGCCAGATTGATATACGCTTACCCGATCGTTTTCTCCGACCAGGTCGTTGGCAATAATCCCTACATAGAGTAATGTACATTTACTCAGCTGACCATAAGCCCTTCGACTATTTAGTTGTAGAAGAAAGTAGTAGTCGGCTATGTTTCGACACAAAGGACCAAGCATATCCCGCTCCAGGGAAAATCGTCGTTAATTAGCTTAACTTTCGCCTTAAAAAAAAAGGCGGAAGTATTTACAGACACTTAAAGCCAACGGTCTTTTGAAATCGCTGATCTATACGTCGAACAGTGTATGGGCTTAATTTTGACTTTGATGCCGCCTGCTTTGGTACTACCCAACTTCAATTGATGCAACCACTTGAGACGCTGTTTACGGTGTGGTATGAGACCGCGAGTTGATGTTATTTTTATCAATCCTTATCCGCTTATATCTACCGACAATCGAATAAACAACGCTACCTGAACGGAGCGATTCTTTCTTTTGTTTCAATGGTGGTCCGAAGGTCAAGGGTAAACATTATGTGTTTTTCACATAAAGTGTGCTAAAAAGTGTGCGCTTTAGTTTAATTTAAGTTATGTACTTAATCTAAATTTAATTTAATAAATATTAGGAATGATAAGCGATTTCTTTGCTCTCGAGTGTAAATAAAACTTTGAAAAGCGAAGAGAAGGTACTCGTTCCTTAAAGATGTGCACGATGGTACGTATATGAATAGTCCGCAATGCTACTTAAACATTTTAAGATGAAATGATCCAATGTGACAACTTTGGGAAGCCACAATTACCCAGAACTCAGTGGTTTCTCATATGCTTTCCTTACCTTGCGTAGGATTTGCACCATTTCGCCATTTGTTTGTCATTTCTTAAGCAACATTCACGCTTTCGAATACAAATGGACACGTCAGGCTAACTAACTACGTAAGTTTTCATTTATGTCAAAGTTAACTCTCAGAAATGTCAGATTTTTGTTTCTTTTTGATTGAATTTCCAAAAAAAAAATTTACGAATAACTAACTGTATTAGCATTTTTTCATTTAAAATATGATAAAATATGGTTTTCAAGCAAGTGTACGTCGTCGTCGTTAGTAAGGTTGGCAGTCAGTCATTGCATTTAAAATGTAATTAATTTAATAATCAGCACGTGAATTCGCAGTCTTTTCAATCCAATGCATTCTCATTACTTACTTATTTATTATTATTTTCAAGTTTTGATTTAATTATATATTTCTGAAATGCTATTAATGCTTTGTATGGTTTTTCAATCGGTTGCCATAGCCATATAATTAAATCATACGGTTGTTAATATTTTTATTAAAAAAAAAAAAAAAAATTAAAGATAAATATTAAAAAACTTATCAAATAGGAAACTGTACTAAGTGCTTATACAAAAATCAAGATCACACGCGTGTAACCGGAGAAATTTAAGCAAATACCAGTAACATTGAAATGCTAACCGGCGATAATTAGGCATATGTTAGTAACATTGAAATATTGTACAGTTATGTATTTAGTGGGAAAACATAACTAAAATTACTCACTTTATATTATTATTATTTTTTATATAACCAAGCGTTTAGGGGACGTCCCCGATTCACGTTACGCGGTGACGTTCACAAACAAGTTAGGGAAGAAGAAGCGATAGGGAGTTGTGAGCTGTAGCCTAGTGGGTGCGTGCCAATGGCCAACCACTTAGGCGTCTAGCACGTTGACGGTCTGGAAAAAAAAAAGAAATAGTGAGATGATGGCCACAAACTAGTCTGTGTATGTGTTATCTAATCGGTAAGTGTTATGTCTTTACTGGCTAACTACTAACTGCAGCTTTAACCGAAGTACACTCTAGCGTGCTAAGATTTAAACCCGCGAACGTTGTTGCGACTTTTACCTACTCGACTACTCATGCGGTCCAAATAGGGTCGAATGGAAAATCGTTTGCATAATCAGGAACCAAAAATCTATTTGGTAGGGATAATGGGAAGCTACGTTCGTAACATGGTGATCATAAAAGACTCAGTTTCGATGGATAAGGTTTTTGTGTGCGAACACTATCAACTTACTGGTT